TTGACGTATTTAAAGTGAGAGATTTATATGTATTTTAATTAAAAATACTGTGATTTTTAAATGAACGAAACAAGAAATGTATTTATAATAAAATCTACATAAGTAGTATTATTTTGTTGCTTATAATAAATGAAACCATTTTTAAAATGGTTGCAGAATAGGTACTTTTTATATTTAAATTTCATTGCGTATTCATTTAAGTACTTATCAACATTAAAGTAGTCGTAATATACATATATAGACTATCCAACTTGTACATAATTATTTATTTTGAATTACAAATTAATAATATTTGTTATTGTATATCTTGTTTTATGCGGTTATGACACAAATAGGCATTGTTACTCAATTAGATTTGCAAAAACAATTAAAAATCGTAGTAATAATACAGTAAACAGTTATTAATTAATTATTGTTTTGCATTCAGTTGAGGAAAACAATAGAAACATGTATTTAAAAAAAGGAATTATAATTCAAAAATAAAAAAATATATCCAAAATAATATTATAAATGCGAAAGTAACTCTGTCTGCCTGTCTGTCTTTTATTCCCGCCTAAACTACTGAACCGATTTCTGTGAAATTTGGTACAGACATACTTTGGTTTGGAACTCGAGAAAGGACATAGGATAGTTTTTATACTAAATATCTGCAGAAATAGTTTATTTAATATTTTAGGTACTCAGTAAGTTATATAAAAAAATAAAACAACTATTCGGTGCAAAGGTACAGCTTATTTCTTCTGAAATCTCTTACAGCAGCCCAGCTATGGGAGAGTATGTGAGTATGTATCATACCGGAGGCTCATAATCATGATCAGCAAGGCTCGAAACTAGTCAGTTTCGAGAAGAAGTCGTTGATCTTATTACTTAATAAATGCATACATTGGTACAACATTTTGAAAAATGCGTTAAAGTATGTATATCTTGTAGATTTTTTAAGATTATGAGATTACTACATGCAAATCTAATCAGACTTTCTTAAAGATTAGATTTCATGCGAGACAAGTAATATACTTATAAAAGAAACGTATGATTTTATTTCGATAACTCAATCATTCCTTTTAGAGAATGTACTATGGCGCGATAACCTCATACACATACAATTAATAGGTATACATGTGGTGTACATATGTATATGTTGTTCTCATCCCAAAAGTCTTCGTCGTGCGATTCGCGATAACAGAATTCAAGTTCAGATAAACATGTCGACAAAATATACATACAGACACGCAGATCTGTATGTACATAAGAAAGATAATACTTTAATCTCACTGATGTAGATTGATGATTCATTGTTACAGTACAAATGCATCTTAAAGAAACACGAGAGTTCGATTACATCGCTGTTGTTCCAGCGACCTCAATAAAATCAATATTTATTTATAGCTAATGTTTAAAATAAATGGGGTTATGTATAGAAGGTAGTACACCTATTTATGTATCAATGTTTCCTTCACACTGTTGATTATTTTATAGCCACAGTTTCTATTTTCCGAGAAGTTGGCCAACCTGAGGCTTGCGCAAGAGACAGCAGAAATATACTGGATACTGAAAGATGCTGCGTCGCACCAGTAACTAGTGTTACGCAAATTAAAGCCCCCAATTTAAGATATTGGGGCGGCCTTCTGACACAAATAGGCTCTTCTGATGGGTACGTAACTCGTTTACTGGGCCATCCTATTTTCATCTTGACTCATGTTTTTACGCACAAGCTCTTGGAACAGGATATTTCGTTCGAGTCTCTAATGAATGGAAATGGAAAATGTCGGAGACGTTGCGACCTTTATACTTACGCCAGTAATATCTTTTCAAGTTCCAATAATAAGCTTGTTGAGTAGTTTGTTTGAGTGCATTTTTATATTTTTGTTTATCAATTTGAGTCGTCAACGTTGTAATTGATTCGGTTTAAAAGCTTTTTAAAGTTAGTCGTAGTATTTTAAAGAACTTTAGGATAAACAAAATAATGTTATTTGAAGAGATCACACGCACATTGATCGCTCACGGATTTTATGCGTAGTACGAAATCTGAGAGCCTTGTAGTACAAGATACAAGATATGCTTAGCTTGTTACTCAGAGATAATGTATGTCTCTGTATTTGTTCCTTTTTTAATAATGAATAAACCTACTTACAAGGGATTTATAAGAAGAGAGTGGTATGAAATTGTATAATTCATTTTTTTCACGAGTGAAAATATGTGACGTCACGTCTAGTATGTGTTGGGTAGATAGAAGGCAGATAAAAAAGGATAAACATTGATAGGTATTATGTGTTCTCCAACAAATCCATTTCAATTCAATACAAAGAAACAAAATCTTAGTGCCTAGGTATGTGTGTAGGTATCATGTAGGTTCAACAGCCTATTGTTATAAAACTTGCAGGCGGTGACATTGAAATTGAATTCTATTACATGATAGATAACGAAAAGAACGCCTGTCAATATTTAAGCAAGTATTCATTATATATTTTATTGAAAATCCTACTCTGAGTTTCATACTTACGTATAAAACTCAATACCAAATGAAATTTTAGTTTTTTTAACGCGGTCGACACATTAATGTCGTTCAGCGCTCTGGTTGGTCAGTTCCAAATTAACTAACCAATCACAGAGCTTAAAGCGGTGACGTTTCGATCACGTTAAGTTCAAAATAATTTGCACACAGAATGCTGTAGGTACTAAATATATGTAAAAACTGGCGGTATTTATAAATTTTATAGCTATATAATATTAACTATTGAGTGAAAAATGACTGAATATATGTTGTAAATTTTCATATTAAGTGCAACAAATACTTAAGTTATTTTGGTTATTACAGAATTTTAACTTACGTCTCAATAAATTGCCTTTCGTTGATACTGATACGGATTTATTTTGTTTCTTTATCAAAATAGTCAAAGGGAACGCGTACAATAATAATGCTCTTTACTATGTTGCAATTATTTTGTTGTTTCTTGCTTTGACATCACCAAAGGATATTTACGGTGACTGTTATTTGTAACCGCTATCAATGCGTTTATTATGACGGTTTGTTAATACAATCGTCAAATAAACATGTTTATTGTTATACAGTCTCCACGTTATACTTGGGAAAATTTAAACAATCTGAGAAGTGAACGAAAAACAAAACTTGACAATATAAACACAATGAACGTTATTATTGACTAGTACCTACTTAACAATTTTGTGGTAACTAGTAGTCACCACATAATTATTCGTTCACTTCAAACAGTATGAGTCAGAACTCTGTAGCTTATTTTCTTTAATCCATATTATTCATCGCGTTAAACAAAACCTTGAAATACCATGTACCTTGATACACATTTCCACATACTACCTAGTCCTTGAAAGAATGTACGAAATAATGAAAGTAAACTTTATGTTGGCATTCTTAGGAATATGAAACCGTACACGTGTTATTGAGGTGTAAGCCGGTTAGACAGCCGTGGATTATGTAAGGCAAATAAGTATTTACATGGAACAAAGTATCAGTGAAATAAGGTAAGAGTATTAGGTGCCGTCATTGACATCATTGACAATGGCAATATATATTTCAATGCTTTGTGTATGACGCAAAAACTAACTGTCAATTGTCATATTGCTGCATTAGGTAGGTATGCAAAGCGCTATTGTTTTTGAATGATTCTAAAAATGATAAATTTCATGAAATAAGAAGAAATTGTCATGAAATACCAATTTGATACCAGAGTTGTAGGTTGTATATAGGTTCTAATTTTTTTTTTTTTTATTAATCGTTGCCCCACATTAGGATTTTCTCCTGTGTCGTGGGTGCGGTTACAAACATACAATTTCACATACACATGACACCCAGTCCCGGAACAACAATTTGTGGATCACACAAAGAGTTGTTCCGTGCGGGAATCGTACCCGCGACACGTTGCACGGCAGCCAGTTGCCCGGCCACCGCACCAACCGTGCAGTCGAAGAAGTCTATTAGAACTGATACTCGTACTAAAATCGAATATCCGTTATAACTGCCAAAATTGTACTGTGATATCATTTAGACTGACTAATTTGAATGGCTTATCAACCTGGTTCTATCTGGCGACATCTATTAAATGCAAATAAAGGCATCAGTTTCGTTCTAAAATGCAGTGCTAATGGACGCCTTACGTGCGTTGATTAACTCAATTATTATACACACTACTAGGGTCAATTAGTGCTTCACCTGTTCCACAGAGCACGTAATGGAATTATATTATTAGAACCAACTTGTAATTTGTCTAGGACTTTATCAAATATAGGCTAAAAGTCTTTAGCTTTTCCCAACCTACCGATAGTCTTTAGGATAAACAGAAAGATCACCACTCACTAGGATCCTAATGTTTCTTTTAATTTATTCATACTAAAAACCAAATTCCTCACTTTTATTGCATAAACCCTTGAATGGTTTAGATACAACAAGGTTAATACGCAATGTTAATAATATACTAAACATTCAATGATCATCAGAAATATACTATGTTCTCCAATCATGTAAGAAGTGGATGACTAACTGGATATCGAAAGATAGGCAAAAACATGCTGATACATATTCGATGAGTGAATTTTGTTTACAAGTAGTCATTTATTTTTCAATTTGTTTACTCACTACTAAGAATGCATTAGGAATCAGTTCTTGCTTGTTGTTATCTCCACTTTTATTGTACTCACTAGTGGTTAACTCGGGAATCTCCGATAGTGATTCATTTATTTATATCGCTGTACTCGGAATTGTTTTCATCAAAACAATTCCGGTTGTTTGAGGTTGTATTTCCCAATGTAACATAATCAAAACCAATGCGAGCAGTCTGGTAAACATTGAGCTTTCATGTATGTTATTGGACTTAAAGAGGATTATTTCACAAAGCTGGTTGTCATGAGTATGATTTGATGCTGTCCAAAACCTTTCAGAAGATCTGTTTACAAACGATAAAGTTTACAAAACAAGATGATTCTTCATTAGAACGCGGTGTACTAACGCTGTTATTTCTTTGTTCTAGGTACCGGCACGTTCGGTCGCGTGTGCTTGTGTCGTGACAAAGCCGCTGATGAATATCTGGCGATGAAGATATTATCTATGGCCGACGTAATCCGCCTGAAGCAAGTAGACCATGTCATGAACGAAAAGAACATTCTCGCCGAAATCAACCATCCCTTCATAGTGAACCTGTAAGTACATTAATTGTAATGTGGAAATTTTCATGTCCCCGTCAATCATTCCTGATGTAATTAATATTGTTGGTGTTCATCCAAGGCGTCTAGACAAACGCGACGCGACATCCGAGGGGTAAGGGTGTATTTCAGTGGGATCATAACAACTGTGTTTACCATTAGAACATACTTGGACGTTTAATTAACGTGCATGGGTGCATGTGACGCACGTCAATTATGAGAGCGCCAAATGTCGGCATTGAGCCAATGTCATTACTTACTCCTGTTTTCATTCCTGACGTTCCGCCTTCCAGCGAGTAGTCCGGCGATAAGAAACAAACCTTTAATAGCTATTTTGCTGTGTCATTCGTAGGTGTAGCCATTGTACGGGTTTGCAGTGAAGTTAATTCATTGCTTGCTATTATTTTGTTTAGTGAAGGTGAAGATTTAGATAGAGATTGACCCAAATAACTTTTTTGTTCAGCTCTTTCCGTATTGGATTCGTTTAACCCAATAACCTGTTAAAATGTACCAGTTACAAGTGTATCGATTACTTTTTGTAATTTATTTTTATATGATCTATTTAGTTGGGAGTAGTGTAAGCGCCAGATGAGCGTCAACTGCGAGTTTCGCGAGGCGACAAATATTAGTGCGCGTGCTTATTGATGACGTTCTGGCATCTATCACCATATATCATAGATCAGTATGTAATATATCAATCTCATATTTACATAAACTTTGTATCTTCGTCCAACGTGTTACTACCTACATATATTTGTATTGTAGTGACGTTACTGTTAACATTTTTAATAGGAGAAAAACAATATATTATGGTAATGTACTTATTATGCAGCGCACTAGTCGTGGACAAGGACAACTGAAAAACGGGAAATGGTTGAAATAAACAAAGTATTAAAGTGTGTATACTCGTGCCGAACGTAGAATGTTAATTAGAGTAGGAAATTAAAATGTTCGCAGCATTCCGAGCTGTTTGGAGTATCTCTATCTAAATTTCTATCTGTTACAGTAATTAGTTTGATAGATGTTAATGTTAATGTGAGATGTCGTAGCTGTGCGGGTTAAGCGTCCTTGGGTTTAAGGTGTTATTTTTGTATGATGTTTATAGAATTCTTCTTGCAGGCGGTGGTGGACACACGATGACTCCTGCATCTACATGCTCTTCGACTACGTTTGTGGAGGAGAGCTGTTTTCGTACCTAAGAAACGCCGGCAGATTCAGCAACAGTATCGGTAAATACACTTTTATAAAACTGTCACAACGACCTGTCAACTCTTCAACCACAACAAAAAACAAAAGTTTACACAACATTCGAAAATAACGTTACCCAAGTTCAGTTGTCACAACTTTTCCTTTGATGACTAGATTTAAAACAAAAAGCAGTAACAATTTCGCTTATTAATCGTTGTAAATAAATAAACTGGAGCGGAATAAATAAATAAAAGTTGGCAATAAGCCAACATTACGCAGGCAACCGTACCATGCCGTACGATTTGTGCGCACGATGCTTCGCAATCACCCACGATGTCCACTTTTTCACTGGATTTTATCATATCACTGTACAATCTGTACTCCATTTTATCCTTATACATTTAGACAATAGGGATTAATTTAAAACAAACCAACCTGTCGCTTTTTACCTTTTAAACTATTGTAAAAATTTCTTGTGCCATGTTTTACGTAAAGTACGATATCAAATAAAAACGCGGGACATTTTAATAGTATATGCATTTTTATATGATAGGGATAAAAATAATGCTATGTTGTGTATTTTTTTACATTTAGATTCAAATAATATATAAATTCTTAAAATACATATATAACCAATGTCTTTAACGCACGCAATGCTTAAAAATTGTCACGAGTATGTGTGAGCGGAGATGATTTCTGAAAAACATTTCGAGTGCTTAACGGTCAAATACCATTTGCGGATGATGATGTCAACAGTGCCTTATTAGGATTTTGGTTCTAATCACGATCATAAAATAACAATTAAGAAATTGTTATGGTTTTCCTCCAAAAAAAGCTTCTAGAATGTACGTCATTTCTGATATTGAATGGGAAAGTTTTAATTAACATATGTATGTATATGTAAACTATAAATACATCACGTATCTATTTAATATATTTGGTTATTCAAATTTTTAGCCAATCGCGAGACAATTCTTTTATCTCATCATCAAAACATCTAGGTACTCTTAATAAAATTGTTAAGAAGGTTTTTTTTTTAAATTGACGTAATGAGTCGCACACACTGATAAAGTAAATAGATGTTTATCGTGTAGTGGAAAAGAAAGAATTGCAAAAACACAGAAAAAATACACGGCAAACGACCGCCTCGTATTTCTGGAGAAAAGACAAGACAGAAATAGGGGCTCATGTGGGTTCAGTGACGCGGGGAGTGAGCGAGTTACTGTCGGGCTTCGGTCGTAGATTAAATAATAATTCTACGTCTTGGGTGCCGTGTGCCTTGAAGGTGGCTGCGTCCATATTTCACGAGTGTCGTTTTATAGCGATACCGATGGGATACAGCGGGCTGACAATAAAAATGTCTGCGCCATTTGGCGACTGCTGACTGAGCCAGACATCTCGACGCCCGCGCTCGCCGTGCGCCTGCGCTCCCGTTTCTGCGCTTTACATATATAAACTCTTATAAATGGATACACTTTGTTATGTGCTACAATAATAAATTGGACTATTATATATTGCTATTCTTAAATTTAAAAAATATTAACCGAACGATCAGTCTTATCGACAGCAAATTGCACTGATAATTTGGAAAAAGACGTTAGAGTTATAAATAGACTCCCAAAAAGATATCGATCTGACAGGATAAATTCAGCGAGTGTCAGCAGATAGTTGCGTTGAGTGCACTTGAAAAACATACTGGCATCGCGCGATATGGATGAAGTGGATCTTTTAAAACGTTTGCAGATTAAAGGCTTACTGAAAAGAAAGAAAGTTATAAACAACATGCGAGACAGTGCTGATGATACAAGAAATGTGCCAGCAAGATACATCTGTGAACTAAATTGCATTTCAAAGAAAAGTTTACTTTTCACTCAATAATTTGAGGCGACCTGTCTAAGTGACGCTTGCTCTGATTTAGTCAACGTTTACGAGAGGCAAATTGTACGTTTATTTGTTTTAAAATGTAGAGCACACGATTTTGTTGAGATTGTACCGACTTCGGGTTAATGGGTTTATTAGATGAGTGTTTGGACTTAGTCATGGTGTGATGTCATGATCGGAGACAGAGTTTGGCTTCCGCGTGGGACCCCGTCGCCCACAGTGGTCAGCGATCTCATAATTTACGTACATTTTGAACTTCAAAGATCGTAGCAACAATAAAAGTTCACGGCAATCATATACTCGTTGTTCAAACATAATAAAAAGTCGTACAATATTTGATAGGTTTTGAAGACGTAGGTGTTCATTGCCTCCATTATTATTAGATGTTATTTTTATAGCGTTATTAACAAATTTGATTAGTTGATCTTGTTTTGTATAGCTTGCCAATATGAGAGAAGTGTGCAACATACAAAAAATTAAGATTTGTCATGTGTAAACGTATAAACTTACTAATCTTTTCAGGATTAATTAGTTCGATTTTCTTCATTGACAGATTAAACCTAAATTCCAAAACTGTCAGCTGTAGAAATGACTTCAATTTGGCATCTGACTGGCTTATAAAGACAATGCTGGCTCCTGAAATACAAACCCAAAACTTTTTTGGAATAATTTTAGAAACAAAAATTTTGTAATTAGCAACATTAAAGAGAGGAAAGTTTAAGTGCAACTAATTTATTGCTCGTTTGTTTAAATACAGAAAAATATGAAATCCGTTGCCCAACATTGCACAATGAATATTGTCCATGTAAACGGTAATGCTAACAGGAGAAAAGTCGTCCCAAGAAAAGCTAGTATTGGAAATAATGATTGTAATCGTATGTTGCACGCGAGCTCCCCCCCACACGTTATACAAGCCGGGAGTGACGACGCGCCTCTTCCAGCTGGCATTGACTTTACCAATGATAAAAATAAACGTGATTTGGCTAATCCTGGATACAATTTAACATGTTTATTTACTGTTACGTATGAATATATTTAGCGTAGGAATCGTCCGTTCAAAGAATTTACATTTCTACATTCACTTCTCTAGCGAAAGTTGATAAAAAAGTGCAAAATGCAGATATAATGTAAATCTGTCGAAAATCCGATTAATTTTAAGTATACAGTATTACATACACTTTTAAAGTTCTATTTCTTTTTAGCAGAGCTGTGTAGGTTCTCTGAAAGCACTTTTAGTTTTATTTGTGTATTGATAGTATAATCAATATAAATTGTTTTAGTATGAATATCCTACAATTTATATTTATTATCAATGGAAAAATATCGTTGTCCAATTTCTAGGTTATGCAAATTTGATTAATAGTAATTATTTAATTTATATCCGTCTGTCTTTTTTAAAATGCAATGCAGATTCCAGTCATTATTTCAATTTATCATAAGTTTCACATTTGAAAAAAAAATGTGTATTTACTTTATGTTTAGTATGGAAACATTTCTAGAAACATTATTCGTGAGTGGAAGATGAAGGAAGGAAGAAGAAGAAATTCATTGTAAAAAATATCAATTTTACAGAAAAAACCTAACATTAATACTAGTTTTTTTTTTAACCTAGGTTTTTAGGTTAACATTTATATTAGTAACGAAATACGAGAGTAAGATTGATAGTATTTTGGTATCTTTATGTATTTTACATTCGCAACGTGTTTTATTTCTGGTCGGACATTAAAACGTAAAGTAACAAAATTTTAATGCAATTGATAGGCGCTAAAGATATAAAAGAAGAATTTCATTAGCCTATAAAACGATTGTATTAACGTTTAACATAAATGTTGTAAACAATAGAAAACCATCGTTGTAGCCATTGTAAGTTCGACTTTCAACAACATCTTTATACACGGAAAAATACTGAATCGTTCGAGATTGGTGAAAGTATTGTGGGAGATATAAAAATATATTCAAGCGAAGTGATCGATACAAGTAATATATGTATACATTAATTATGACGTAGAATGAGATTTAAGAGTTAAGTTTATTTAGTTTAGACAATGTTGTTTTGTATACTTACTGACATGTATTCTATAATTGCAGTAATGTGCTTCTGTCCAAAGCAAATAGTCTTGTGTAAATGCGGTCAAGTAATTATTGTTTTCCCTCGGCCGCTTGCGCGGGAAAGTAAGGCACGCTGTTTTCTTCCTACATTGATAATATTTTCTTTAAGTCCCTACAGATAAGTTCTTGCAGTTATTGTTCCCATAAATACAAAGCTAAATGTTAATTGTTGAACAAGCTGCTCCATAGTACCATCACAAAATGAGGTCGCCCCGGCCTTATAGGCCTTTATAGGTCGAAGTCATAAAAAAATCGATGCATTTTAAAATGTTCTGTTTGCAGGAAACTTCTACGCGTCAGAGATTGTATCAGCCCTTGAATATCTGCATGCCAGGAATATTGTTTATCGAGACTTGAAACCAGAAAATCTACTTCTTGCCAGAGATGGACATTTGAAGATAACTGATTTTGGTTTCGCGAAGAAATTGACTGATAGAACTTGGACACTGTGCGGAACGCCGGAGTATTTAGCGCCAGAAATCATACAGAGCAAAGGACACAACAAAGCCGTCGATTGGTGGGCCTTGGGTGAGTACACGCAGACCCTTTTTTACCCTAATACCGCTATTATTTTTTTGTGAATCACGGAAATCATTATATTTTCCCAACAGAATTGCCTTTTCGTATACAAATATACTTAGTATACTTCGTCGTAAATGTCATTGCGGTAACATAATGCAAAAACGGGCCCCAGTCACGCTATCAAACTCTTTGTGTTCGAGGAAAACTGATATTACTTATTAATAATAATAATATTTATTTTGTAACCGTGCTACAAGTTTCAAAATGAATAGAGTTTACTGTATAAATATGTTAACAGATAACTCTCACCGACTTGTCACGATACGAATTTTATTTTCCATTGTTTCGCTACCGTATTTTGGAAAGTCACAACTTAATAATAGCATCTTTAATTAAAAGAATACGTAGGTACTTGAATGTGGTGTATAATTATGTGAGAAAGACAACACGGAAACTGATGAATTAATCTTAGGGCTCATAATTTAAATAATTAAGCTGAATATCCGTCTCTAATTGACATTGATGGCTCTAATGTAATTTGTCGAGCACTTTATATGTGCGTATACGTTGGGTAGAGCGAGCTTTAAATTTATTTGTATGTTCTCTTCGATCTTGTTTTGCGTCACATAAAGTGTCTCTCGACATATTGTTATTATTTGTTTATTTATTTTATAAGCAATCCGAACATACAATGCATGTCGTGTGATGTTTACGAGTACGCTATTATTTAGTGTTTCGTTGATTTATAAATGCCTTTCATTTGGGTATACCGACCCGATCCTTGCCAATTTATGTACTATGTGCTTCATTATTTATAATGGCACACGTTGCTTGTTTCTCGTCGCTCCCGTGCTTGGCATCATACGCCATTACATTATAACAATAATACTAAATATACTCTCCCCTCGCGAGTGCTCCCACAATTTTCCAATATCGAGTTACTGTAGTCTAAACATATCACTGCAATAATGAAATTAGTTCACTCATTGTGCGTCTTCTATTTTAATGTAAGTGCTAATATTTTCAACGCTAATTACTAAAGTCGTTTAGTTTCTAGCGCAAAATTTCATATTTTCTGCGACATATGTCTTGTTAAAATATTATTAATTGTCCATTAAGCGCCGTAATTAGCTTTACTAATTGCAAATTTTATTGGATAGGTACTCTAGTGACTGAGGCATCCGTGAGTGCTGTATTTTCTGGAATTCGCTGGAAAGCGATCTTCAATGTTCTAAAAACATATATACAAATCTTCTTCAAAAAAATACTGAATAGGATAAATTATAAACAAACATAATTCTAATTGGACTTACAGTTTTATTAATAAGTATGTCAACCAAACAAAGGGTACAATTAGCGTTTCTAAACAAGAATAGATATTGTTACGCGAAATTGACGACCAATAATTTTGGCAAACATAACCTAAATAATAACAAATGTGTACTACGAATGTATAATTAAATTACCCATTAATTAACCTTGACATTACTCTGCGTTCGAGAATTGATTTTACGACTATCGCTATAATTAATATCGAAAGTATAAATATCTGTTTTAAAATTGGACCTAATTATATCGTTGGAATTATAATGATGTATCTATTAACAACTAGCTACTGCCAACAGATTCTATCTGATAAAAGTAGTCTGTGTGCTATTTCAGGCTTTCGTATTTTCTTTTCGCTATACAAAAGTAAAAAAAAAACGCATACACAAGACCTGGAACAATAATTTGTGAATTTGACCAAGAGTTGTAATAACCGGTTGCCAATAGTAACCGCGCCAACCATGCAACCATTATACAAAAACATATTTAGTTATTGGTTTAGCATGATTTGAATGCGTTCTCACAAATATATACTATTATATAATAATAATAAGTATTAGTAGTATGTTAGAAGTTAGAAGGAGTGTAATTGATTAATTATTTCTTTGTGCTTTCAGGAGTACTCATCTACGAAATGTTAGTGGGGTACCCACCGTTTTACGATGACAATCCATTCGGTATCTACGAGAAGATATTGAATGGTCGTGTGGAGTGGCCTCGACACCTGGACCCCGTCGCCAAGGACATTATCAAGAAACTGCTTGTACAAGACAGGACGAAGAGGCTGGGCAATATGAAGGTAAATATTATATAAACTTTCTTTTAATTTTAAATAACATCCCACCACATTCTTGTCATTTTCGAGATAAAGTATTATACGTTAGCTTATAGACCTTAAAGCATTTGTTAGCTAAGTTTTATCGCAATCTGCTCAGCTGTTTAGGAGATTGAGTGATACATTAGTCACTTAAAAATATTTGTGACGGCACTGGACTTGAGAAATCTTTGTGAATTTTAAAAACTGTTGCATAACAATAACAGCTGCATCGTCCATAAGTTTCAATAGAAAAAGTTTAATCTTCCAAAAAGTTTTCTTTAAATAGTTTTCTTTTCGAGAGGAAAATCCCCAAATGCACTGTTTTATTTAGATTTTTCATTGAAAGCAGTTTTATTGCTTGTATATTATGCGCTACAACTTTGTGTCACGCGTCTGTGCATGTGGTCTTACGTTATTCAAAATTAATTATCGCTTACAATGTTTTGTTTACTTGCCAAATCGAAATGGTTGCATTTTTTTTAAATTACCAAATATTTACGAAGTCATTTTACTAGTGAAATTTTTTTTATATAAATTGTTTTTGTCTACGTACTATAATAGTGACTTTTAGGTAGTTAGATACTAAATTCGAGGTGTTTATCATGATATGAAATTATACAGAATATGTTATAAGTAGAGGATGTCCCGTAGTTACAGAGTGCACAGGAAAAATATGTACCTACTCGTAAAAGTAGCGAAGAGTTACATTAAGAAGTGCCTTTAAGGCATTTAAATATATGTTTATAATATCTGAAGGAAGTAATATCCATTAAACATATGTTGTCTACACTGATGTGGGGAACCTTTACCATTAATTTCTCTTTTTATTATTTTACTTGAACATTTCCATCTGCAAGTACACGCTTTACTGATCATTATTTAAGAAATAAATACACCTGAGTATAAAGGCTGTAAAATGCAGTTTCTGTTCTGTTATGAAGACGTGGTTCGGTTTTGTTTTACGTTTACACAAACTGAAAATACTTTAGCCTTGCGCTTGACCTGTTTCGGCAACAGTTTTGGATTATAAATGTATATGTACGACACACAATACCACACGTCAAACAGCTTCGCGTTGACTACACTACTATTATTTTAGCTCAGACAAGACATCATAATAAGACCCTCAAATCGAGAACACCTTCAATAAAATGCATGGCTGTTCGTTAGTCTTGCTGAAACTCGAGAACGGCTTAACCGATTTGGTTAATTTTAGTTTTAAATTATTCGTGGTAATCTAGGAAAGGTTTTTTTAAAAAGGCTACGCTATTGATAGTTAATTTTCAAAACATAAAAGAAAACTGGGTAAAAAACATCGTCACATTTCAAACATTTGATTCAACCGTGCAGTTGGCGCGTTGGTTTGGCAACTGGCTGTCGCGCAATGTGTCGCGCGTTCGATTCCTCTTTGTGTGCTCCACAAATTGTTGTTCCTGGTCTGGGTGTGGCGTAAATGTGAAATTGTATGTTCACGACACAGGAGAAAATCCACAGGAGAAAATACTAGGGTGGGGCAACGCTTTTTATATAAAAAAACCGAGCACTTCAGTATTCTTCTTTTAAAATTCTTTTCTTCGATGCTTTTTAAACCGGGTGGATTGTGTCCAAAAACAAAAATTTATTTCACTTTGAGGTTGGAGTTCGGCCAACCTCCTTCCACATTTATCGTCTAAACTTAGTCTTGGTACGTTAAATGCTAAGATTTTTAATTTGTCCAACTGTTTAGGTGTAAGTAACTATACGTTTTCTACAACTGACAATGAGCTCAGCCAGTTCAGATCAGTTGATACTGGTTACTATTGTAAACGAGTAGTAAAATAAGATTTGGAAAAGTACTACAGAAAGTTTAGTTTAGAGCTTTGTTTAAAGAAAATCTTTTTGTTAAAATAATTTACTAAATACGAGAAAAGTAAATTACAAATTGCTTAGTCAATTGAAAAAGCCAATTTCACTAAATGGATGTCTAAGTAGACCATATAGATTGCTTGCCATTGAATTAATGTAATAACTATGTACGGCCTAATAAACTGCTGTTGTAAGATTGGCCACTAATAACTATATAATAAAGTAATTGCTCCGATTGATCTGGACTTCACGGGTAACTACATAATGACAGTATAAAGCTACATCAGTACACTGCACTAGACAAAGCTATCAGGTAGTGTGCGGGCTGTCAGTTAGAAAGCCATATGTTATTATCTTTATTGTACACTTGGCTACGTTATAAATATCCCTTGGTCGGGCGAGCCTATGTGGTCATGGCTAAAGCGAGAAATCGGGATGCGGCGTTCCCAATAAAGTGTCGCACTATCTCGATGAGAATGTATTTTTAAACGATTGCAGTTAGTTGTTGGTTGTTTTCACCGAGCTTTTTGCCGCGATGTCGCCGAGATGTTTAGAAAGCCATCAGTCAGGTGTCTGCCGGCCACTTCAAAAGCCGCGCGTCGCCGCTGACTTATGTCGCGACGCAAATACGACACATCGTCGATGTACTCCCGATGTGCGTTAGAAAACTGGGTGCCTTGTTAGCTGTTGTGACTTGCGCAAATTCACTCTGTTTCCATACATAAATATTCTAGAAATTTGATCTTGTATCCAGTTTTCGCGTATTGTATAACAAATAATCTCCTCAAATTTCTCCATAAGTGTCTAAGAGTTTAGTAAGAGTCATGAAAAGTAGGTAGGTATATTATGCAGTAGAAGTCACAATAAGTAGGTGAATAGAAAAACTTATTACTACTATTAGTATGTTTTATGTTCAGGGAACATCAAGACAGACAAACGAGCAATGATTAAGACTTACATTTACAATAGCGTTACCCGACAACAGTACAGATAATGGCAGTTCAGCGTCTACTGAAACAGTAATAATACTTATTACAATAGCCACGTAATATGAAAGTGGAAAGTAGGAGCTTTCCATCAATATACGTTATTACTTTGCAGTAATACAAAGAGATTGTCGGTGGTTTAGAGGAGTTATGGGACAATTCCCGCTGGACTAGGATTACATCGGAACGAGTGGCCCGTTTGGCATCGTCGTACAATAATAAATTAAGCTGCGATATGCTCCGCTAACTCTAAATCTGAGAATTTACGATGTCTAACCGTCGAAGAACGTCGCGAACGCCAATAATAACAAAGTTGCTCTAATTCTGGCCACCCACAAATGCGCATTATGGTCGTAGTCAATATCTTTGCTATGATTGATTGGCGTTTCACTGATACTCATTGTGTACATTTCAGTAATTCAGTCGTCAAATTGTTCGGTTATCTTTGTACTCGTATATATTTGATCTTAATATTGCAATGTTTTGTTTCATTTTCAGTGCGGAACCGAAGACGTCAAGCGGCACAGATGGTTCAAACACATAGATTGGGCTGACGTCTTCATGAAGAAGCTTCAGGTACACATTCATCTTTAAATACATAATTTGTTTATGTTCAAGATACCAACATAGACTAGGAGGTCTAGATAAATTTAAACTTATTACTTGCATGTATTGTACATAAGATTATTCAGAGTAAATTATAATTTTATATAATACTATATTAATACCGTAGCGCGATTTAAGAAGTGATTTAAATTAGGTCGTGAGACCGCCGGAGATCACGAAGTTTACGTTACCTAATTTCAATACTTTACGCTAATACTGCTTAAATGCTTATTTATGGTCCATTAACGATATTGTACAGAAAACAGAGCTAAATAGAACTATTTATTATTGTTTTTATAGTTATTTGAACTGTCTATTGTGTTGTTCACAGCCTCCCATAATCCCGGCCGTGTCGTACGAGGGCGACACCTCCAACTTCGACGAGTACCCCGAGACAGACTGGAAGGCTGTGCGCTCATTAGACTCCGACGAACTCAAACTATTCGCCAATTTTTGATGGCCCAAACCTGCATCGTCGGTGGGTTAACTTTTAGGAAAATATCGCAACGGATGTGAGGAGACCAGGCCTAGTAATATTTATGAAACTGCTTCGAAAAGTATTTTTTCATATTATATTTAACATCTTAAGTTAAGTGTAGATATCGTTGTTAGTAAATGAGGCCAAGAGCGGCGTTGTGTTTGCAGAGTCGATAGGAAACCGTCCGTATTTGAGTAGAGTAGGGTGAATATGTATTAAATGAATAACCAATTTGAATGTTTAATTGTTAAGCCGACTGGCTGGAGCCAAGTGGTCTAAAAATTCCTGACTGTAGGCAAGGGATTAATAACAAAATGAGAAGACTAAACGACTAGTAAATCACGGTGAAGAATCATTCCGGGGTTGAGTCATGCGCTACTTTTAAATGGTAAACCAAAAATTGGAGCACCAGATAGGTATCGACCGTAATGTTTAGTTAATATTGAAGACATTAATTTATTTAACTTAGTACCTACCTATTCAGAAATTGTAAATGGAGACATATAAAATGATTGATGTCTGAAAATTTACACTTCGTAACACGTGGCATATCTTGTTTCTTTCTATTTCACAGTTAATTAACTTGCTTCCTATCATTTTAAATAAAACATATATCGTATTCTGTATACATAATGTGATTTGGCTTTGGTCAGTCTGATATCGATAAATACTTCCTGTGTGTGCATTTATGGGGGACGAATTATGTAAGTGTTTAGTGGAGTTTTCATAACTATTGAATCATTAAAACGAGGGTTTGTTTCATAATGTCTGTTGAAGTCAATATTAGCTTAACTGATACGTATTTTTTCACATTTGGAATAGAAAATGTGAAATTTTTCATCGCTTAAAGTAATATACATTTAATTAGACATTGTAATACAAGCCCTCACTCACAATTTTATCCTGTAGCTAGTTTTCGTATACTTGTGTACATCTGTGCCCATGTAATGTACCTACATGCCTCAGTAAGTCTACATAGAGGTCTAATTAGTAAAATGTAAATATTTATTTATAAGTATAAGTATGCATTACATTTCCAATGCTTTCTAGTTCAAATGTTAGTGTTAGGGATTAAGTTAAGTCGCCATTATTGGCAAGTAATGTTTGTGATTTTGTATGTCATAGTATTTCCCTTTAACTTTATTGTTAAGAAATAAATATAACGTCACTATTATTTGAATATTTGATATATTTTCTCGAGTGCATTGTTGGTAGACGAGACTTTTAACGCCATCTAGGAGTGAGGTTTGGAACCTTTTTTATTATTACTGTAATTAATTGATTTATGCGATATTTGTAAGTTAAAACTGACAATTTGCTTAATTCCTTTTTTGCTTAAATGCTACTACTAAAGAAGATCTCACACAATATTTAAATTATAAAGGAAAACTAAAGCATGATGTCACTGTGGTATTATCTACTATTTATTGTCACATTACTGTAGTATCAGGCCATACAGTATTTTCTGTGATCTTTTTAGTCTTGACAAAGATAAATTATTGACGTTTGTTCACTTTGAAACAATTGTGTCATAGAATCAATGCAGCCAGTAGATACAAATAATCGAAGTGTTACTCACCAGATTTAACTATGGGACACGTGTAAAATTAGAAGCTATTAACCTGAGAATAAAGTTTATATCAGAATCATCTTACTTATTGTAACGGACTGTGACCAACCAAGACAGAATTATAAGAAATTGTGGTCACAATAGTTATTGACCACAATAGCACTACAACGCCATCTATAAAATGGGTTACTAGTTTCTAAATAACTGCACTTGAAACGAGGTCCATCAATTGTGACAAAAGTAGAACAAAACTTTAACCCATACTTGATTGAGTCTGGTAAGTAAAATATATTGAAAAAAAAATATTTATGTAACAGGGTTGTAGATAAAATGTATAATTGTAAATACACAAAAATAAATGTGTTGTCTAAACATGTGTGTTTAATTTTAATTCGTTTTCTTTTGTATAGCCGTCCTTCATTTGCGTAAAAATCGCTGAGTAAGTTTTAATGGTATTTGATGAACAGATAGGAAATAGTTTGTTGCAGAATATTTCTTACTTTTTTAAATGTTTTAGTGGGAAGAGCGGCTTAAAAACTAGGATACAACGAGAAATAATTATCATACTATTTTGCTAAAAAAGACTAAGTCTGTTTCTAAGTTGTTACTAAGCCACTTTTAGAAATAACAGCTTTATATTTTTTTTAAAGACAGCTAAAATACCAATGTATACATTTTGTGATTGGCTTCCGAATGACTAAGTGTAAACACAAAATCTACAGACAGACATAAAAACATAAAAAATGATTTCGTGTAAACATTGACGGAATTTTGATTATAAGTACCTACTATGTGTAGCGAGCCAAAAAGCTCTATTCGAAAACTATTAGAAATTGAAATGAAAAACAAACCGAATCTTCAATGAAATAGAAATCTGCTGCACATTGTGCAAAGATATTAAAAAAATGACATCACGCCTAAAGAAGTATGCTTTACATTCTTATTTAATTTCTGCCAGTTGTGTTGTTAATCATCGGCCCGATTCCATCCACTGCTGGAAATAGGCCTCACCAATTGCTTCATTATGAGCTCGATGTTCAGCTTTTATCATCCAAACACTGCCAGCGGATATCGTCAGTCCACCTAGCTGGAGGGCGCCTTAGACTACGTTTGTCAGGACTCCACTCTATTGTATTGATACTTTTACATTTTTCTGGTTAATTTGTTGTCATGGCAACCATGAAGAACCCTCGCCCTCGTTATATTACGTAAAATTAAAACCCTATCGTTTTCTAAGATTCTATGGGATGCTTAGCAATAAACAATAAAGAATACAACTGGGTGAAAGTCAGAGTAGTGAGGGTTTGTATTTTTCCTATTAAGACTGGTGTAAGGTGCAGGTGTATTAATATACCGCGGCCCCGGTATTGGAAAAATGAAGCAACAGGGCGGTTTTTAGTCAGTAAGAATTTGATATACAAATTATCCCACCTAGGTTGGGAGAAGTCAGGAGATGATGTTCCAACATCAAAAACCAATAAAAACATACATATATAAGATCTTCCCTCTAATCTACATATGCATACTCATCTATTGTTGCAAGAGAAATTAATTGACTTATGTACATTTACGTAGTTCAAATAACATAAAACCGTTTTACCTACAGTAGTCGATCTATGGTCTAGGTACAGGCGCCAGGACGCTAATCTTATCAAACTGATATCTCGAGACGTCTACGTCGTCTTTGTTATGTATTGTATATAACATTCATCTATCAACTATACCTAGATAGACTTATCTAAACTCATTGCTTTGTCTCATCAGCCCTTTGTTTCGTATAGACTATGCATATCATGAGTACTAGGTAATATCTTTACAAAAAGTATAAGATCCTTTAAATTCATACATAATTGTATTCATAAACGAGTAGTAGATATCCAATTAAATGCATTTTCTTTGTAATTTAAATATTCATAAAATCTAATTGTTGTCATACAGGCAGTAATTTTGGCAGAGCCACGATTCGGCACAAACAGTCCACCACACATGGTTTTATTGTGTGTAGTGTCTGTGTATTAGGTTAACGAAGACCCAATCCTACCCCCAATCCATGGGTGGCACTGATTACGATCGGCATACATTGCATTGTATTGCATAGCATTACAACATAAAAATCGTACTTGATATGTGAGCCAGTGGATACAAAAAGTAGCTTCCTATAGTAATGACTCCAATATGCAAAATTAGTAATTAAGCAGCAGCACTTGGAACGAACAGCTTACACATACGTATTCACAGATCAGGAAAAGTATAAACCTGATGAAACAGACTTATGCATTGTTTAAACTGGCTCATTAAGAACAAGTTGTTCAAAAATTTGTTAGGTTAGTTGTTAAATTATTTGGACCCCATATTTCATTAAAGTTGCCGTCATAGCCCAAAGAATTTGCCGGGGTTGCGGGGTAAGCGCAATGAGGCACTGAGAGCCCAGCCTAAAGCAGGAGAAGGAACCGAGGTATTTTGGATAAAAGTGTGACACTCTCTCCCGCCCCATCCTAGGCGGGAAAACTCATTTGATGATTTTCCCCAGACAAAAAAAAAATGCCTAAAGGATTAGCAAACTGAAGTGACAGTGGACAGGTCACATTTGTCGAAGAACCGAAGGCCGTTGGGGTAGACGTGTTCTAGTCAAATGTAACGTAATGCGTCTCCCAGCTAGGTGGTCTCTTGTACGATATCCGTAGTGTGGCTGGCAGTGGTTCGATGAGAAGAGCTGAACATCGAGCTCAGTGGCGTACAAAACGAGAGGTGTGTTCAGTAGTGGAATAGGGCCGATGATGATGACGATAATCATGGCGATCAAAGTCAAAGTCAAAATCATTTATTCCAACTAAACCATAAATAGGTACTTTTGAAACGTCAAAATAAAATAGTAGTCTGTCAGTCTGTTCGTCAGTAAAGCTAGGTGCTCATTCCAATATGTAGATTCGAATGGAGAAGAAGGACGAACAATATGAACTATAATAATTTCATAGATTCAACTATTCTTAGAACTAGCGGTACATTGATTTTTCATCAGGTTATAAAATATTTCCTAATAAAATACGCGTGTGGTCCGTACCTAGCTGTGTTATTTATGAATCAATAGAGAACATTCGGGCTATCAACACTTCATATTATCTATTCATGTAACTGTACGAAATGATATTGAATGTGATATTTTTTGTATTAACAAAAGTGATCACCAACAAGTGTAATAAGTATTATTACGTAAATGATTACTATATGTTGTCATGTCAGACAAGGAAATAAGAGTTACCTACCCATAAAGTAATACCCACGATAATAATAATTGAATATCGGTTAGGGGACATACCTATCGACACAAATTAACCGCACGAGTAATACTCAAAAACATGATGATGATCATAAAACCTCACCTTTTCTGAATCGCGAGTATAAAACTAGTCAGATTGACATTGATAAGAGCGATTTACTTATTACGAACAAGACTTTAATATAAAAATAATGATAAAGATAGATTACACGAAGGCGAAGAGAACCTAAGAGTCCGATAATGATATTGAAACAGCAACTCTAGTACTGCCAGGTGGATTAAATGGTAGATAGCTAATCTAATACCATTACAATTATCACACGTTCGATATTTTATCATTGTAGAGTTGTATTAGGTC